TTTGAATTTTTGCATTACCATTCATCCACACTTTATGTTAATACCGACAAAAAACTAAGAATATAATGTTATATTGAGTGATGAATAACAATTTATGTAGGAGAGAGATTAATATCAGAAATCGTCTGTGGGCATGTTTCGAATATCAAAGCTCTAAAGTATGTATTTGAAAATCTAAAAAGGGTCATTTTAGTTTTTAAAAAAATTCTAAATACTTTGAACAAAAATAAATAGATGTAGGGTGGTCCTCACTAGCTTTTAGACTTACAGCGGCTCGAAGCTTTTCACCCAGAAATTAACAAGTCATAAGGATGTTTATTCAATGAAATTAACAAGTCATAAGGATGTGCATAAAATTAAAATTTAATTTAGACTGACGGTATTATTTTAAGATCTAATTAATGCTAAACAGTTTTCTTAAAGCTTAATCTTGAATGATCATAATGATAGAGTCATACGTTTTGCAAAAATATTACCATAACTTTTTTTTGTATTATTTGTTTTAAAAATATACGTTGTTTTGTATTTTTTTTTTTTTCCATTTCTGTTTCTATGGAACTTATTTGTCAATTGCCTTCATTTTGATGTACAACAAGATTCAAATGATTTTTATAAAAACAATGGTTTCCTTTTTCTTAGAGCATTCTATGTGGGAGTATCTTCACATAAAGCTAGACATACGAAATGGAAATATATGCAAATATACACCCAGCCGGACAATGGTGGCATATTCGGGGTCTATTTGGGGCAGCGATACGGGGAGCTGCCACTCCAGTGACAGTAGCCAGAGGCCTTGTGTACGCCAGAGCACGCAATCTATACCAAGCTCTGTGGGACGTCCTCTGGTGTCAGGCGGCGCAGAGAACTCAAACGACACCACCAAATAAGCTAGATCAGTGTTTTGGGACTGATGTTCATTTTAATTCACTACTAGCTTTTGATACTAACACGGGGAGGATTCGTCGGCTAAGCAATTCGGAGGATACGATGTTTTGTACTTTGAGTGTTTGGCTCCTAATAATACTGACTGCTCTCGTGGCCCGAATTGGATGCTCATTTGGAGAGGCACCAATGCTGCTTTCTATAAGGTCGAGGAAAAGATTGCGGGAAGTCGTTGTGGCTGTACAAAAAAGTGACTTTGTGTGGACTTTGGATCACGACAACGGTGATATTGTTCGGCTCAAAGCAAGTTTTTTGAATTATTTGTTACCACGAATTGGAATGGTTAGATATGATTAACGAGCAGAAACATAAGACATATTTGGTCATTATTCAATTCAGTTCAACACACTAAACATGTATAAATATCTTTTTGATTTATTTAAATAATTGTAGCACCTCGATACAAGGTACTATATCTTCTTATACTTGGTGTTGAATGATGTGGAACCTAATGAAATTGTTCACATCCACTTAAATCATAAATTGACCTAATCATCTTGAGGGGGATGCAATTTTACTTAAGTAGATGTAGCACTCAAATTGAATTTTCATCTTGTTTTTTTTTGTAGAAATCAGGGCCAGGAAGCTTGAATGGAGTGTGGGATGCAGCCACTGATGGAGTACGCTTATGCACAATTATTGTCAATGGCAATGACCTCCCCTTCACCCTCCAACCACCTACCTGAACAACCACCGCCGGTGGATGGGTGTCGTTGGATGTAGATACCGGGGAAATCCTCTGGAGCATGGCAAATTCGAGCAATGACACTACCCACTGCCAGTGACTACAGTGAATGGAATCCTTTCTTAAGCTAAGTTGTACCCGGTGGTTTGGTCAATGCAGTGGATGCCAGGACGGGGACAATATTGTGGTCATTTGAAGCTGGCGCCACCTGTACGAAGGAGCTTCGACTAGCTACGGTTTCGTTTTTATTAACCAAGTGTATTCCATTGGACTAGCAAGATTCCATCCAACTTGAATCAGTGCAAATTCACTCTTTGCATTCTGCATTATGTGAGGAAAACTTTCTTGGACAAACATAGAAGAAATAGAACTTCTAGTCTTTCAATAAGGCATATGAAAAGAACTAAACTTCCTTCATGAGTACATTGAGAGAAATTTTATCATGGTTATACGAAATAATTATATAGATAATTCTT